CATATTCAGGAAAGATTAAACCTACAGTAACATCTTAATCCTTTGCTTAAACACAGAATATATCTCGTCATATATCTTCAAATCTATGTGGTAAATTATGAGGCAAATAAGAGCTGTATTTATATAAAAAAGCCCGAAATTTCTAATGCCACAAACTAAAGTAAAGAGGCTTTAAAAACTTCCTTAAAAAAAAAAACAACAACCTACAAGTGAAAACCTAACCTCTGTTGTTTGTGCTCATCGTCAGATCTAATTAAAAAACTCAAACTAATCTTTCCAGTGAGTTTAAGGGGGATAAGAGTAACAGAAGTAAATCTGCTTTAATTGGGAGTTTGTTTTCATAGTGCCCGTATCAAGACACATGGCTTAAGTGAGAGAATGATTCATTTACGTATACACCTGGACATGTGACAGTATGCTTCAGCCCTCCCTAAAAAAACAACTAATAGCAGACCTTCAGGTCAAGGTGACTATATGAGCAAAAAAACAACAGCATGAACCAAAACTTCACAACACAGCCATGCTGGTGGCTCACAGGGTGTTTTTATGGCCTGCTTTTTTCATTTTTTGATAACGATAATTAAGACTATAGAGTTATAGTAAGAACTGTCCATCAAGCCGATTTTCTAACCTTAGCATCGCTTCATGCTGACCATCCTGTTCTGTTCAGGCTAATGCTGACTCTTTCGGACATACTGTCAAAATTATTTTCTAAGTGTTTTTGCGGTTGATGATTTTTTGCCACATTGGCCTTTAAATTGCTTAAAGCACTGTCAGTGATGCTGAACTCTGCAATTATTTCACTAATGGACTCGTGCGGGGTAAAGAGAGATTGTGGGAGAAGAAGAACTGCCTGAGTGTGTACTGTATGTGTTAAGTTGTGTTCATATAACCGTCTGTGTGGTTAGAACAGAGTGCTGGATGTCTGAATTTCACTGCTGTGTAATTGTGATATGTACAATGGAAATACAGTTGAATTTAATATAATCTAATCTTGGAGCAGTCTACTTAATGCAATGCGCAGTGAAGCACAAAGTAAAAATGAATGCAATGTATTCTTCCCTTTAGCTGTTAAATTTTTTTTTGTCTGATTTGAACACCACAATGGAGAAGTGGAAATGCTGCAGAGTGAACCGTTAATGGGCTCTGATTAACGTGTTGTGACTCAGCGTGCCATTTGCTTTCCTCCTGTGTTTGGAAGGACTGATGTGATTACTTCTCAGCTTAAGAGAGGCTTCAGTTCACTCATCTAGCAGAAATGGATTAAAGAAGCACTTTTTTTCAGCTAAGCACTGACAAAATGTTTTTTCTGTAATTTATTTTGATTGGCATTATTTCCAAAAATCGAGAAAAACATAAATGCAGATATCTTTGAAATGTGGTGACGGATATTAAGAAAGTGAAATAAATTCAAAATTAGCGGTAAAATAGTTTAGCTTCAATATTTTTGTTTAAAAAGTATTGTTGAAACAACCATGAATCAGTCACAATGCTAATGATGAGCAGTATTTTCACTGTCTATCAAAGTTTTAGAGGCTTTGCTGATAGCTGTATATGCAAATGAAGGGACTTTTAACATCAGCAGAGCACCAAGTGGTTGGTAGCTTCACATTGGGTTTATTATTGTACCATTCCCTCACAAAATGCAGAGGAAAACATGAGTAATTTAGATCTGCTGGCTAACTGCTCCCTCATGAAACATGGTAAACGAATGTGTTAGCAACAGGTTTGTAATTTTTATCCGTCTGATTCGTTCTTAATTTTTTTAAATTTCTTTCCTTATTGAAACTGATGCTCCTCGTCATCACAGCCAAAACAATATACTGGTTTACCTACTTTAATCATCATCTTATACAATGACATTTGCAGTAATACATCCAGACTTTTTAAACAAATTATATTTTAAAAGGTAAAAGTGAAAAACATTCCCTTTGTCATCAGCCAAGATAATCATGGGATGGATGGGATTAAACTCAATGCGTGTCGGCTTGGTCTCCTTTTCCATCACTTGCTGCTGGTGGATGGTCTCTTCTGTGCTGATACTACGGTCAAAAACGTGAACCTAAGGAAGATGAGCAATTATAACAGTCATCACATTTTCCCTCCTTAATTTGGACTCATCAAACACATTTATTCATTTCAAAGAGCAAAGAACAATGTGTAAAAAAAAACCTTAAACACAAAGAATGTGTTGAACCTTTACTTACAAATCAAATTAATATGTGTTTTGCAAATGTGTTGCTTTGTCTCATTTTGTCAATACAACAAGAANGTTAACGTAAGCTCAAAAATTGTTCTTAGAATTAAATCTATCCAATTTTAAATAAAACTATTTTAAAGAGCACCTTCCATTTAGGGATTAATCACATCTTTTTTCTTTTTCCTAAGTTGTGATGTTCTGTCAGTGTGATGAAGATGCAACAAACCAGCAAAACTGTATTTGAATGCTTGTGTTTTCTCCGCTACTAGTTCGCTGTTACGCCTGCTGTCAAATTCCAGCACTGATGTAGATTCGCTATTTAAGGGCTGGACTGTGCACTCACCCTACCCACTAGCTTAGGGGGTTGTTTGGTATTCCGCCTAATAATAACAAAGTTAAAACACCTGAGTCTTTGAGAGACTAATGAGTCACATGACACCATGGAGGCAATATGTCTTATTGAGCACCGTTCACACATTTTTACTAAGGGATGTATCTTTTGATGCATGGTTTACATTTTAATAGCTGTGTTGTGCTATTTTAAGAGGACAGCAAATTTATATTGCAAGCTGTACTTCGACTTCATTAAACATTTTCAGTGTTACCCCACCAAAAAAGCTAATTTCTACAAAAACGTGAGGAGTGGACTCACTTTTTACAAATACTGTAAAGACACAGTAAAATATGTCGGAAAAAAACAAGATTAAAATGCAATAATTATTGTTTGCAGTATATATTTTTTATGATTCATGTAATAATAGATATGTTAGAACCGTAAAACAAGTCCTTTCAATTAATAATTTGAAAAATGCTGCAAGGTTAGTTTCTGCCTTTAGGGCATCACTGTGAGGAGCAGATCTATATGGCTCAGCTTTACTTCTGCACTGCTGTTAGTGATCTTAGTACCAGAGAATGTTTAACAGGCCAATCAAAGCTCCTGTACAGCTACAGGGTTCAATTATACTGAATGTGACATCGATTTTAAGTCAACCAAGGTTAACAGCATCATTTAATACAAATCTTAGGAGACAAAACATATTCAGGAAAGATTAAACCTACAGTAACATCTTAATCCTTTGCTTAAACACAGAATATATCTCGTCATATATCTTCAAATCTATGTGGTAAATTATGAGGCAAATAAGAGCTGTATTTATATAAAAAAGCCCGAAATTTCTAATGCCACAAACTAAAGTAAAGAGGCTTTAAAAACTTCCTTAAAAAAAAAAACAACAACCTACAAGTGAAAACCTAACCTCTGTTGTTTGTGCTCATCGTCAGATCTAATTAAAAAACTCAAACTAATCTTTCCAGTGAGTTTAAGGGGGATAAGAGTAACAGAAGTAAATCTGCTTTAATTGGGAGTTTGTTTTCATAGTGCCCGTATCAAGACACATGGCTTAAGTGAGAGAATGATTCATTTACGTATACACCTGGACATGTGACAGTATGCTTCAGCCCTCCCTAAAAAAACAACTAATAGCAGACCTTCAGGTCAAGGTGACTATATGAGCAAAAAAACAACAGCATGAACCAAAACTTCACAACACAGCCATGCTGGTGGCTCACAGGGTGTTTTTATGGCCTGCTTTTTTCATTTTTTGATAACGATAATTAAGACTATAGAGTTATAGTAAGAACTGTCCATCAAGCCGATTTTCTAACCTTAGCATCGCTTCATGCTGACCATCCTGTTCTGTTCAGGCTAATGCTGACTCTTTCGGACATACTGTCAAAATTATTTTCTAAGTGTTTTTGCGGTTGATGATTTTTTGCCACATTGGCCTTTAAATTGCTTAAAGCACTGTCAGTGATGCTGAACTCTGCAATTATTTCACTAATGGACTCGTGCGGGGTAAAGAGAGATTGTGGGAGAAGAAGAACTGCCTGAGTGTGTACTGTATGTGTTAAGTTGTGTTCATATAACCGTCTGTGTGGTTAGAACAGAGTGCTGGATGTCTGAATTTCACTGCTGTGTAATTGTGATATGTACAATGGAAATACAGTTGAATTTAATATAATCTAATCTTGGAGCAGTCTACTTAATGCAATGCGCAGTGAAGCACAAAGTAAAAATGAATGCAATGTATTCTTCCCTTTAGCTGTTAAATTTTTTTTTGTCTGATTTGAACACCACAATGGAGAAGTGGAAATGCTGCAGAGTGAACCGTTAATGGGCTCTGATTAACGTGTTGTGACTCAGCGTGCCATTTGCTTTCCTCCTGTGTTTGGAAGGACTGATGTGATTACTTCTCAGCTTAAGAGAGGCTTCAG